TGTCAGCTCCAGAGTGGGGAGAATCAACAGACACCAAGTGTCAGCCAGGAGCAAGTCTACAATTAGGATTATTTTCCTAACTACTTTTCAGAGCTAACACAACTAAGCAATAAATTATTATTTTAATTTATTATTGGTCTCAATATGCAAGGTCAAAAGTAAGGTGCTGTTATTTGGGGGCTGATTCTGTTATGAAAAATATTTCAGGGTTGATCTTACGCAGTAAAATCTGACCTCTTGTCATATCTCCAGACTCTGAAGAGATTTCACTAGGACTGGGGATCCCAAGGGTTGTTTCTGCTTTTTCTATGACATTTGAAATACCTTGACCTAGAGAAGACAGAAATCAGAACAGAAACAGGATTAGAGGTGCATAATGTATTTTATTATTCTGGATTCCTCCTGTTCAAAACAGTTTCCTCAGTATTAAAACCTCCTCCTATCCAGCTTACCTACCAACATAATGAACCAAGGTTTTATCACAGCTTTTAAATCAGGTTGTAAATACTGGCTGAATACCAGTTTAAAATACCAGGTGAAAATTACACAAACGCCTTAAAAACTTGAAAGTAATTTTGGCTGTGAATATCTCCTTAATCTCACTGTACCTTTTGGTACAAGCCTTCCCCATTACTTGAACAATTCTCCTGACATTTTTCCAATAATGGCTGCTATAACTGAAATCCCCTTCTCTGGAAACAAGCTCTAAAGCACTAGCTTGAGACACAAAACATGATTAAAATATTTATCAAACACCAGCAAGAGCCTTACCTACAGTAGCTACAGTAGCAGATGCAGTTGACAGAAGAGATTTCCCCCAGCTTCCCCAGTAGCCCCACCCTGTCTGAACTGCAGGAGAATTTGAGACCTTTAATGAAGAAAAACAGAAGAGTGATGCAGGTATTATGGTGAGGAGAGGAACAAAAGCAGCCTGTGACGTGTGACTTTTGTGCAGCTTCTTTTTTTCAGAGAAACAGCAAATGTGAATTTTCAGAGAGGAGTGGGGCTTATGCTCAGAATTCTCCCATGCTCAAGGACATAAAATGTGAAGTCCCATTATTCTGAGCAAGCACAGGAACATACCTTGGTGGTTTCAGCTGTGGGCTTTTCTGTGGCATCAGGCTGGCTTGGGGGCTTGGGCTCAGGTCTTTTCCGAGTCACAGGCACAGTCTCAAGCTCTTTCTCTCTCTCTTCATTGCTCTCAGAGGAGCCGAGTTCCTCTGCTTTCTGTTCATTTTCTTCCTCATGAGAGGTTTCTTCTTTCAGATTTTCACCACTGCCTTTCTCAGACATGACTAAGAACGCCCATAGAAAGCAAAGCAGATAAAAAAATTACTCCTTTGTACACTTTGACACTAGTTCAACAGCGTCAAATTTGTGTTTTAAATAATTAAACACAGCAACGCTGCCACACATATCCATATGCACAGATTATGTTTTTAAGCAAGCGTGTACACCAAATTACATCTGGCTATAAGAAATGTCATACTTGGAAGTTTAAAGTCCCACAGGAACACGTGGCTTTATCTAACTGACACACCCTCTCTGCAGGACAAAAAAAAAAAAACAAAAGGTTGCTAACTCTGAAAAACAAACGAAGGTACAAAAGGTCCTCAGATAATGCAAATCCATGACTTGTTCCACCAAACTAAAAGCGAAAACAAATTGCTTGGGACGGCCGCTTTGAAGAGTGTAGGATACAAATGGGGGCAGCTGTCAGGGAGCTGAGCAGGTAGGGAGGCAGTCACTGGGTCACTTTTCTACTTGAGGCTGAGTTTTGCCAGGGCATTAACACCCCCAGAACCCGAGACGTGCTCCAGGTGCCACCCAGATGTTGCACATCAGGGATGGGGAGCCCACCAGAGCGGGTTTGCAGCGCTGCTCCCGGGCCGGCCTGTCCCTCCTCCGGGCTGCTCCGGCAGCACCGCACCCGCTGCGGGTGAAGGGACCCGCGGGCAGGGCCAGGCCGAGCCCCCCGGTACCCCCCGGTGCCACACCAGCTGCCATCCCCTGCCGCAGTCCGGGCACACGGAGCGCGACGGCTCCGAGCGAAGGGCAGGGACAGCCCTGCGGGAAGGGACAGCCCTGAGGGAAGGGCGGCTCCGGCTGCGGGCTGGGGACCCCCACCCACACGTGCCCCCAGGACCCTCCACAGCGGCCACCGCGGCCCGGGTTCCACGGCACCAGGGTCACCCCACAGCCCCGGCTCACCCGCCCGGGGCAGCCCCTGCGCCCCCCGTCTCATCTGCGGGGGTCTCCCTGTGCCTCCGCTCCCCCGGGACACTCCCAGAGCCCCACGACCCCCACAGGGGGCTGACCCGCGTGTCAACCCCATGTTCCCCCGAGTCCCCCCGTGGGACTCTTTGCCCCAGACGCCTCCAGCCCCCCATGGTACCGCCGGCCCCACAAACCCCCCCGCCCCGTGTGGGCGCACGGAGAGCCCCTCGATCGCCCCGCGCCGCCCCCTCACCCTCGGCGGCTCCGGGCGGACCGAGAGCAGCGAGGCCGGCGCGGAGCGGCCCCGGCGCTGCCCCGGAAGCGGCTCCGGCGCGGGGGAAGCGCGTCCGGGCGGCGGGGCCGGCGGAGCTGCGGGACGGGCCGGGCCCGGCACCTCGTCCCGGTGAGAGCGGCGGGGCTGCCGGGCTCGGGCCGCGGCGGGAGCGGGAGGCGGCGGGCCCGGGTCCCGCCGCGCTGTTCTGGCCTGGAAATGGAGCGGGGGGTCGGGAATAGGGGCGGGTTTGGAGGGTAACGAAGGTGGTGAAGGGCCTTGAGGGGAAGGCACGCGAAGAGCGGCTGAGGGCACTTGGCGTGTTCAGCCTGGAGAAGAGCAGGCTGGGGGGGAGACCTCATGGTAGTTAAAACATGCTTGTGAGGGGAAGAGGAGGGGCAGCAGCGATCTCTGCTGTGCGAGCAGTGACGGGGCCCGAGGGAGCGGGCTGAAGTTGTGACAGGGCAGGTTTAGGTGGATGTTGGAAAGGAGTTCTTCCCCCAGAGGGTGGTGGGGCACGGGGCAATCTCCCCAGGGCAGTGGTCACGGCCCCAAAGCTGGCAGAGCGCAGGGAGCGTTTAGACAACGCGCTGAGGCACGGGGTGGGATTGTTGGGGTGTCTCTGCAGGGCTAAGGGATGGGCCCGATGGTCCTTGAGGGTCCCTTCCAGCTCAGGATAGGTGTCCCTCTGGCTCCAGCAGCCTGGCAGGAGCAGGGATTTCCCACAAGCGAACTTGGAGCGTGCAGGGCTGGGCTGTGGGTTTCTGTTCTGTGGGCCTTTGTGCCCGGTCGTTTAGCTGACAGCAAAAAAGCCGGTTTTGGTGCCCAGCCAGTACCGTGTCCATGGCGAGTGACCCCCGTGACAGGGGTCAGGCAGCCAAGGGAAACAACACATCCCATCAAGTGCGAGGCTGGCCCTGGTCTGCTGTGGATTTGGATTTTGGGTTGGATTTTGGGCTGTGGGTGCTGCTGCTCCCCGGCGGAACCTTGGCTGGCGCCAGCAGAGGGTGAGCCCTCCCTGTGCCCTCTCCTGCACTGGGAGCACCCGGAATGGCTTTTGTCAAGACCATGCTGTCTGTTTTCATAAACTTCCCAGGAGTTATTGTGTGCAGGGCTCTGCCAAATGCGTCTCCCTGGTTTGACAGGGGGTCAGGGGGGGCCTTGCAAATGTTGTTCCTGCAAGGCATCACGGTGCGAGCAGGAGGGTGTTCTCCGTGCTGGAGCGATCCATTTGGATCCATCTGCGTGCAGTGTTCCCAGTGAGCACGCTGTAAGTGCCAAAACTCGTTTCCACGTCGCGTGCCAGAAGTGTCAGTCGGTCAGAGCAGCCTGTGCTCTGTCAGGTGTGTCTCGGTTTTATTGCTCCATGTTACTCCAGGTATGGAGCGATGTTGTAAGGAGTGAATGTAAAGCCGTTATAACTCGCAACCTCTTGGGCCCCAATTTTGCAGTGCCATATAAATGTGTGTAATTTTAAGTACTACCGGCACTTCCACTGACCTCGGTGGGACTACTTAGAGTGCTCCGAGTTAAACACGAATACACTTCTTCAGGGTAAGAGCCAAGGATGACTCATACAAGCTCATGCATCACAGATTTTTATCTTTCCGCTGCTATTTGTTGTCACAACTTATGGTTTAATAAAGGTTAAATATGTTGAGCTCGGCTTCGGGTTCAGTTGTAAAATAGCCAGTTTCTATTCTGCACATTTCATCTATTTTGCTTGAACTTAACACTTTCTTGAGGAATTTTGATGTTGGCACTGATCATGCTTTATCCTTTTTGGGTCCTTTATCAGCTCCAGCATCTGTTTTGCATAAGTGCAGTGGTTGAAGAATATGGATTTTGCAAATTGTTTTATTGTTCCCAGCACTCGGCAGTGAGAGATCATTGTCTGCTTAGCAATAATGGCTTTTCCAAAAGACAAACAATTTCTAATAAATCAGACCTCGAAGAATTTAATAGTAAAATTAAATGACCCATCACCAATGGTTTATACATTATGCAGGCTCAGTGCAAGTATAGTGGAGAGCATATGCAATTACTGAAGATAATTATTCTTGTGAGGGGAAATGTTGCTGAGTATTTCTTGTGTTAAATAATTGAGTGAGATTCCTAATGTCGTTTTAGGAGGAGCGTCACAGACACTTGGAAATCTAACAATTTAAATTTAATAATTTAAAATTTCAATAGCACAGGCAAAGTACAGGAGGCACTGGAATTGTTCTGTAATAAATCTAAAGTATCAGTTGGGAGGTTATTGTTTTAGAAGACTGTAAGTTGTTATGTGCCTACCATTCGAGACTGAAGAGGAGGGTTTGTCTTTACTGCAAAGTTGTAACTGCATCAGGTGCTGTGAAGTCAGGTCTGATGCATGCAAAAGCCATTAAGTGCAGTGGCATTTTTAGCTGAAGGCAGCTGGGTCGTGGGATGATGTCAGCTCAAGATCTGTGACTGCAGTGTCTCACTTGCCACCACGAGCTGTGACAGACTCTCAAACAGCAGCTCCAGCAATTCAAATGTCAGTGGTCCACAAACCGCTCGCAGTCCTCAGCCTGCCTGTAAGCAATCTGCACGAGGTTACCAAAATAAGCAGGTCTGTTGTCAGCAGCCTTCTGAAGGCTCTGAGACACTCTGAAAATACCAGGGGTCTAAAAAAGGAAGGTTAAAACCCCTCCTTCAAACAGAATAATAGTTGTTGATCAACAGCAGCCTCAGTATTGCGTCATTTTCAGAGCTGTGCCATTGCTGTGGATGGGATGCTCTTCTCTGGAGGCAGCAGGACTCAGTAAACACTTCCCCCAAAGCTGGTGAAAAAATAGGAATGAAAGAGCCCTTGGTACTGTTTTTAACTGTTTAACTGTGGGAAAGTAGCTTCTTCAGCACAATGGTATAATTGAGTTCTCAGCTCTGGTCTCATCTTGAGTGAAAGGACAAAAGGCATGATAGAAAACAGAGTGCAGCCAAAGATTAAAAAAAAAAAAAGAAGAGGGCAGATGAAGGGATTTCTGTTTACAGAAGAACAAGTAGGGAGCCTGTTTTCCAGTTTCTCTTGCGGGATTCAGTGCGTGAGTTGGTTAGTCAAGCTTGAAGGAGAGTTGGGCACAGCTGTCTTCTTTGCCTTCCTTGTTAAACTGGTTCTGGCAATAGCTGCAACAGAATTGGAAATGGGTCAGATAACACGTTTCTCATCAGATGTCAAGTCTGGAATCTGGTTTGACCTTAGACAAATTAACTGAAAAAAATTCCTAGTCTGGATAGCATCTTGTCAGCAGAATTTCTCTCTCTTGAGTATGCCTGGATTTTCTCTGATAAAAAACAATTAGTACAAATCACCTGGCTTTATGTGTATTTCATTATTTTTCATAAGTGCTTTAGGTGGTGATAACTAGTGATTCTGGAAGGATGAGAAGTGTCTGCATTATTTATTAAGAAAATGTGTTCCTTTCTGTTGTGATATTTATAAAATTTGCTTCTACAGCATCTGTTATTGGTAGAAGAAAGGATGATAAATTTGAAGTCACACAGTCAGTGGTATGAAGTGAGATATTCTTTAGGATAACATTTGGGCTTGTGGCTTCTGTACTTCATAAATTTTTTTTTTAGGGAGCAGTCTAGATGGAATTATAGCTTCAGGGAACACATATTGGATTACAAGTTTTCTTGAATCAAGCAGCCGGAAAAATTGATTACAGATTTATCAGTGTCATCTCATTTTGTTACAAGTTGGTTTTATTCTGTCTTGTAAGAGAGGAAAATCTTTGTGTGCAAAAGACATAAAATTAAAGGCTGTAGCCTGATGTCTTAAAATATCTTATGTGCACATTAATTTGAAGATAATCTGTCCCTAGACAAAACAGTTTTTCAATTTGCTATGAAGTTTGGGTAGAGAAGATGAGGAATGAGATATGACTGCTGAGATGTAGCAACACAGAGTAAAAGATTTTCAACAGGAGCTCATTGTAAAACAAACAGGAATAAAAAGAAGCAGTCTTATAAAATGCAGCAGCAGCAAGAGAGATTGCAAAAAAGGAAGTGTTTTCAGACAGCAGTATCCTGATGGGCAGAAAGGGACTTCCTCTCTGTTGTTTTATGGCTGCCAAGAGTTTTCCTAAGAAATTATAAGCATATTATATAGTATTAAGACATCTAACACTGATTGTGCCTCTAAAATCAAGTAAGTAGATGTATAAATGCTAAAAATCTGATGTGTGTGTGTGCTCTGGCTTTTTTCTGGGTTGTAAATGAAAGATTGGATTTAGAAAACCAGGGCTTAAAAGCACTTTGATATTGGTGGGGAGGGAGGCAGAAATTACATCCTCTTTCTCACTTTTCTTCCTCCATTAAGAAAGCACTTCTAAAGATAATTATGCACTTCAAGCAGTCTGAACAATTTGTTCTTTTTTTAAAACCTTTTTCCCCTTAATGATTATTGTTCCTGAGATTATTTATTTGGTTGGGAAGATGAACATCTAGTGGACTGGAGGTTGGGCTAATGCCTTCTTACCCTCGTTTCATTACTGCGTTCTGAGCACAGCTCTGATTTGGAACCTCTCAGCTGACAGTTTGTGTTATGCTAATCGAAATCTGTTTACTGGAAACGAAATTTGAATATGCTGTAACCTTGCTGTCATTAATAAACTTACTGCCTTTTTTTTTTTTTCAGTTGGACTTCCAGTTTCCACTTCAAATATTGATGGTCTCAAAAGTGCATTTGGATCCAAGACATCTTCCATCACAGAACAAATCAGGAGCCTCCTCTCCTATCTCAGAGCAATACAGACAGCTTAATATCATATGACCTCATTTCTCCATATTAAATGAAAAAAGAATTTTCACTAGCTTTCCATGAAGCTCAGCTGCTGCCTGTTAATTTTGACTGTTAGTGCTGATCTTTCAGTTGGATTCACAGTGGAAAATGTAGCTTTTAACAGGACAGTTGCTTTTGGGTCTTTCAATGCATCACTTCATGCAGTGTCTCAAGCTTTAATAAGTTCTCCAGCACACCATGATATCATAGCCAAAGAGGGGACCAGTATTTTAATTGAATGTAAACTGAACATCAGCCAGTATGAACATATCCTTTGGTATAACTCCAGGGGACACCTACTTGAACAGCAAGATGGTGAGTTTTCCTGCTGTTTTCTGTCCTTCAGTATTCCCTTTTCATACAGTACCTGAAAACCTCTGGGGCTTTATTATAATTTTCTCTTCCTATCCTCCCATTTTTACAGTTGGGAGATAAGGAGAAAGCAAGACAAAACTCTTTGCTTGTGAATTATACCTGAGTTCTTCTGTCCCAGTCCATCCATCCTGCTTTGGTGCCCCACAGAATCACTCAATATAGAAGAAATGAGTTTGCACCTTACCAGGCACTAACTGATGTTTTTACTTATTATTTCTCTGGTTTAGATTATATTTTTCCAAACACATGAATTAAACACAGTTGTCCACAACTTGTGACCTTTTCCAGCTGGCAGTCGGTGCTTTAATTTTGTTACAGGGTATTTTAAAGCATGGTAACTTAGTGCATTTATTTTCTGCTTTAACCACCAGTGAGACTGTGGAAAGTACCACAGTATGTAATGGCCAACAATGCAATACGTGCTATTTAACCCTCTTGTACTGAGGGGGAGTATATTTTTCTAGCTATTTGCTCTTAGAGTTCTGTCCTTGTAGTTAGTTGTTAATTTAAAAAATATGTTTTGGAGATGCATGTGTTTTTCTCTATTAGTATTAATGAAGACCATCAAACTAATTGATAGGATTTGTTGGAGGCCATCTTTCTGCCTTAAGTATTCGGTAACCTTTTTGTAGTTATAATGCCATCTGGAGATTAGTTCAAAGTAGAGTAATTAGAAGAATAAGTTATGAAAATAGTTCAAAGTAGAGTAATTAGAAGAATGAGTTATGAAAACAGTTTTCCCCCTAAGTTATAAACGCGCAGCAAATGCTGTATAAAGCTTCTTCTATTGATTTCTTTTTACTTGGGTTTTGTGTGTCAGCACTGCATGCTCAGCAGAAAACCATGTCTTCAAGAAAATCCTGGGTTCTTTTGCCAGCAGAGCCATTTACAGACTGATCTCTCTCGTGGGTCAGTTGACTTTTGATTCTGAATGTATGGAAAATTAGACTTTATGGAGGACAGTCTTTTAACAAAAGCCCAAGTTAAAAATTGGGATCCCTGTCAGAAAGAGCTGGCAGTCCAGAAGCACTCTAGAGAGTGCAGATGAGAGAAGGAGGAAAATCCAGTGTAGCATGCAGTATAATTTACCATTAAGCAGTAGGATTGGTAAGTGGGTTATGGCTTTCTGTATCACCAGCATGAAAAGGACACTGCAGTGTTGGTGTTATGCTAGAAGTGGGCTGCTTACTGCCAAGCTCTGACTCCTGTTGATGGAGCAAACAGCACATGTGTAGTTAACCCAGTGATTTTTGTTTCATGAGCTTGGTTTATTTCTTTCCAATCTCCAGGTGACCGGTGGAGGATTGCTGATAATTCCCTTAACATCACAAAGGTCAACTTTGCTGACCGGGGCCGATACACGTGTGCAGGCATTAACCATAATGAGACCTTGTATTACACAGTCACTCTGAGGGTTACCTTCACCTCAGGAGACATGAGTATCTACTACATGATTGTGTGCCTCGTTGCCTTTGCCATCACCCTCATTTTGAACATAACCCGTCTGTGCATGATGAGCAGCCACCTCCGCAAGACAGAGAAGGCGATCAATGAGTTCTTCAGGACGGAAGGGGCTGAGAAGCTTCAGAAGGCTTTTGAGATAGCCAAGCGTATCCCTATCATCACATCTGCCAAAACGCTGGAGCTGGCCAAAGTCACTCAGTTTAAGACCATGGAGTTTGCTCGGTACATCGAAGAGCTTGCCAGAAGCATTCCCCTTCCACCTCTGATCCTCAACTGCAGGGCGTTCATGGAGGAGATCTTCGAGGCCGTGCGGGTGGACGACCCCGATGAGGTCAGCAAGGAGGACAAAGAGTCCCAAGGCTGCGGCGCCCAGGCTGCCATATTCCCCATCAACCCCGAGATGAAGCGCAGCGACTCCCCAGCTGGGGATTCCGACGATGGTTCCGTGAGCGAGCAGGGCCAGGAGATCGCCGTGCAGGTGTCCATCCACCCGCAGTCCGAGGTGCAGAGCATCGACACCGTGTCCCACGACAGCTGCCAGTTTGCGCCTTCTGAGGAGGGCACCTGCTGAGTCCTACATTCCAAAGGGGGGTGAAGGAAGCTGGGGTGACCCAAAGATACTGTGAGAAAGGGGTCTGCAAACAAGCTGCCTCAGTCCCACGTGCACAACAGTTTTCCAAATTGCAAGGTGCCAGAACTAGTTCTGAAATCTGTATTTCCTGTCAGTGTTGATCTAACGATTTAAGGCTGTTAGAAGAGGCCACTTGGAATATTGTGTGGGGGCTTTTATTTTTAAAGCAGGCTTGCTGTACTTAACAGAGTTACAAAACAGGAATTCTTTGTCCTTGTCTCCTTGGTAGCTTCTGATACTTCTGATCAGTGTTAGAAGTGGCCAAGCTGAGCAGTACAACTTGCAATAAGGTCTTTTCCTTTGTGAATTATTTCTTTCTTCACAAAGTTGAGCCGAAATTCCCTTGAGTCGGTGTTGTTGTCCTGATGATTCGAGTTGTGTGCTCTTTTTGAGTTGCCTCTTGGTGTGTGCAGCCCATCAGAACCGCGGTGAGCTTGAACAAATCTGTTTCGTGTCGCGTGCTTCTATGTTGCTATCAAAATGTACTGTACTTAGGAAAAGTACCAGGATCTGCTGCTGGATTAAACAAATTTTGCTGTAGTTTCAAAGCAGCTTGGAGAACAACCAGGGGGTCTCAGTTTTCCATGCACCTGCAGGAAACTTGTACATACTCTAGAAGCTTGTTGCTTAAACTTGGTGCTGATGCCAAAGCGCCTTACCCTGGTTCTGTCCCGCAGAATGGAGCAGTAACAGCACTGCCAGCACTGCCTGGCTTTTGACTTTGCTTTGATTTCACTCACTATAGAAAAATCCAAAGTTTTATATTGTATTTGACATTGTTGTGAGAAGTGAACGACAGTAATAACACAGTGGCATAACTAATGAATAAACTCATCTACAGACAGGTGTCTCAGGCACTTCTTTCTGAGCGTTATGGTTTCTGAGCATTATAGGAAAGCAGGTAAAAAGTAGTGACACTTGCTCTGCTCTGGCTAGCACTGTCAGGAGGCAGTGGCAGAGAGATTGGCTGGTGGAGGGGCTGGCAAACAGCTCAGCCAGACCCTGTTTACGGTGTGGAGTTTACAGGGTGGAGCCCAGCCTTATCCACTGAAGAGGGTGACAGAAGGGAGAGGTGCAGGTGCTGACATAACACACAAGTACTTCACCCAGGATCTCCCACGTGGCTTCCGCAGCTGTAGAGGTCCAGCCTCCAGGAATGGGAGGGCACACAAGAATCTAATTTCTTCTTTCACTCTTTGGTGCTGATTTTTTTTTTTCTCCTTAACACTTGTAAGTTGCATCATTTAAATAGCATTTTCTATCCTGTTGAGATTTAGTAGATGTAAAGCTTGTAAGCACTCCACAAATTAATTTCTTACAACTACTGGAAGCATATTGCCATATAATTTTAACAACTTGGCAATAGGAGCGCCATTTAATTTCCCACAACTCTTTTTTCTTTCCTTATTATTACAGAAATGTCAGTTGAACAAGTGATTCTGGACGGCTGCTCAGGATTCTTAAGAGGATTTGACGTTAGATTTACATGAGTAGAGGTAGAAAACAAGCAGGCACTGTGGTAATAGCAGGGTGGGGCCATCTGTGGTAATTCATGCTCTGAACAAATTATAGTTATCATATCAGAGAGGGGGAAATGACAGCATCTGTTACCATTTTAAACTACCTTCTGGGGAAAGTCCTGCAGTCAGCCACCAGTAAATGTACCCTAGTTGCCTTTGGCCTGTGGGGTAAAAGTGGTTTTTGTCAGGAAGGAAGGAAATTGGTAGCCTTGGTTATAGTAGCATTCCCACCGGCTTGGTGCCATTTCCCGGATTGTAGCAAACTTTATCTGCTTCAGGGGAATAAAGCCTTCTGTAGACACTTAGAGTAGCTACTGCCCTCAACAGTAACTTCTTTTTTTGCTTCCATAGTTTGATGGCACTTTATGTCCAGGTGAAAAGTTTGTATAGTTTTGTGTAAGCATTTGGTTTCTTTAAGTTCTTCGAGGCGATCAGTGTTAAAAACACTCTGTGAATAAATACCTAGTTTTCTCAGAAGCCCTGCTAAGATGCTACTGGCTTCACTTCTGTACTGCAATGAGTTCTGCAGGTTTGTTGCACATGTGTGGGTGTAGATTTGGGGGTTTGCACCCTCTAGGGTGTCCTACTCAAAAGACATGAAGACTACAAGAGATTGATTTGTTTGAATCTCCTTTGTGCCAGAGGCCATCAGAATTGTACCTGCACCTGCCTTATTTCCCATAAACAGCTCTCCCTGCTTCTGTGGAACTGTTGCATGATATGCAGCAGTAGCACATTGGATATTTAGCCCCAAACTACACACACACAATGAGAGATGCCACTACAAAATCTAAGGTCCATTTAACTGCTTCCTAAGAAGCAGTTATGATTGACAGATGTCTCATCAGAAGTGGCAGCCGAATGGCACTGGAGGTGTGTCAGATGGGTGTCAGGAGAGCAGTTTCTAGATTAATTTGATCCGTTCTTTGATTTTTATAGTTTACATAGCTCCAAGTTCTTACTAAGCACAGTTACCTGGTGTCTTTGTGTGTCCTGTTGCTGATGGAGAGGAATAAAGGTGCATAAAGGTCCTCAGAAATGCAGTTGCAGTGTCAATTGCTGGATAGCAAAGCTCATTAAATTAATTTCATTCCTGGGAAAGGGGGTTAGAAAGAGATTTCACTATATCAGGAGTACTTACTGCATGTAGGAACTGATCCTCCCACTGAATTCAATTAGAGCATATTTGGAGCTCTGGTGTATTTTACAGGATTTTTATGCATCTGAAGCAGGGACGATGGTGATGTTATACAGTAAAAGTGATTTCCAGAGAATGCAATTTGACACTGGTTTCCAAAGAACTTGTGAACTATTCTTGTTATCCAGAGAGTAGATATGTGCACTTAAATTTCTTTGATGAATCTGATTGAACATTAACGTTGAAAGTGTTTCTCTCTTAACTTTTTGTAGGATGAGGAGAGTCTGCTGTAGTTTCCTTGCTTTAAACTAAAGTCTTTGACAATCACAAGGCTATTTTTTTTCTCTTCTTTGTGACTTACTTTTATTTTAAATAACATAAACTCTACTTGTTATCCAAGAGTAACTAAAACTAACTTTGTAGTGATTATTTGTATTACCTGGATTGTAATGTAACTGTTTGATGTAACCACGTAGGATTTCATACTTTCATAAAATGAATTGGTAGATTTTCAAAATAAATTAAAAAGAAAAACCTTGTTTGGGTGGAATTTTCTGTTTTTCAAGTAAGGAATGCCTGCCTCTCCAAGGTTAAGTAGCAGCTGTATTGAGCTCAGCAGAATGTTTGTTAGTCATCCTGACAAAGGTTGCTGGGATATTCAGTCATCTGACGGACCATTCCTGCTATGACATCTTTGTGTCTTTCATTTTTTTATGTCTCAGGCCCTGACAACATCTGTAATAATCGTTCCCAGCTGCATAAATGAACAGTTTACAGGCATGAAATGGTTTCAGGAAGATCCACATGTTCTTGATTTCACATTGCGAAGCGCAGTGCCCTTCAGCCACAAACCTGTGTTGTCTGTCCTTACCTTTTTCACGTGAGAAGGGGCATCCCACTGTGTTTTGGTGGCCAGGCTTGGGTTCCTAATCCCTTTGCAATCAATTCAGAGTGTTAAACTCTGCCAGGGGATGATCCCAAGGCTCACCCATCACCACTGGTTACACTGGGAAGCCGCATTTCCAACATGAGCATCTGATAGTGCTGATAATGGGGGTCTTCTGTGTGGGCATGTCCTGCAGCTCTGCCAGCCTGCAACACAAAGTGCCCTTGGTTAAGTTTAAACTGCATTCCCCTGCCCCAAACACCAGCTTGCTCTGGGTTACAGAGAAACCCTGTGGAACACAGTCAGTGGGGTTGTGCAAGTGTGAATGAGAGCAAATTTCACCCACACTGTTTTTAAAGAATAGTTTTGGGTTGCCAGTCTCTGCACTAGGCAGGTAATGTAATTAAAGCTGAATCTTGGGGATTTTCCCATGAGAATCTGCTGCTTAAAGGAAGAATTATTGGGCCCGTACTCTTCAGGCTAGGTCAGTATTCAGTCAGCATCTGCTTTCTGTCTCCTTGTTATGAGAGATGCATGAATGATAAAGGTTCAGTTTTTTAAAGCTCCTGTAACCTGACCCCAGCCACAGTGAACAAATTCATCTGCATCCATTTAAAGCACTTTTCCATCTGGTAACAGCAGATCATTGAAAAGGGAGCTGCATTAAGGATGATTGTACTTTAATTTTAGGTGCGCTCCTTTAAAAAAATACATTTTTTCTTAATGTTGCAGCACTTTTGTGCATCAAGTCTCCAGCTGGAGACACAGTGAAGACACCACGGTGTCATTCAACTCAGACAAGTTACAGCTTTATCGACTTTTCACTGAGCCAGGTCATTTCACACCAGCTGGGTCTCTCTCCTCTTCTCTTCTTTTATTGTATAGCAGCTCATTCAGATGTCTCCAAATACTGCCAGCTTTTTTGCATGTGGAAGTGAGAATTACACCATCATTCAAAAAAAAAAAAAAAAAAAAATTGTTCTGCTAGATGTTCAAATATCAAAAAAGCCCCAAAAGCAGGAAAGTTGTGCTTTATCCCTGGTAAGACAATGCCTATTCTTTGGTCACGCCTGGATGCCAATGAGCGTAATAATACTGAGCAATTAGGCCTTTCATTTTCGTTAGACTAATTAATTGTTTGCACAGTGCCCTGAATATGGAATCATTTTCCTTTGGAAAGGATAAAAGGATTAGAATGGCTTTATCCCAAGTTGCTCAGAACGTATTTTATTTATTTAATGGGAGAAAAATTCTCTCTCGCCCCGAATGCAAACCACACACTCGAGCGCTACGGCTGCGCTGGGACGTTTCCATCAGCGGAGATGCACACAGATCCACATATGTCCATCCATCTGCAGCCACGCTCCATATGGGATCTGGGGGCTCAGTTGCATGTCAATGAGCCTGCAGAGGCTGGAGTCACGGTCGTGTGCACTGCTGGGTTTGGATGTCAGCCGTGGTCAGACGCTGGAGAGGGATGAACACACCCCTTGGAGTTCAGCACCGTGATGACAGCAGGTATAAATGCACTGGAGACAGTCTCAAGGGGTTTGTACTAAGTAAATCAAAGGCAAATGAAAGCTGGGCCAGGATTTCATGAAGAGACCCAGTGGACACAATATTGCGGACACTACTGCCAGCTCTTTTTTATGTTTGTCCTATTCAGTTCCTCTTCGTGCTACTGTTGTTATTAAATATATATTTCATATTAAATGGCTCCAAGTGTAACACAAGCTTGCAGAAAGGCATTTCAGTGGAAAGTGGGGAGACGTGTTCAGCCTTAAGTTTAAGGGACAGGCTGCCATCACACAAACTTTTTACTGAAGGAGTTGGAGATAGCTGGAGTTGCTGCCCTGCCTTCCCTTCTCCCTGCTCTGCTGTAAGGCCTGTTATGGACCATCTGCAAGAGCTGAAAGTGAAAACTCTGTCCTCTGCTACCTTCTCTTCCTCTGAAGATCAGGACACTGAGAACAGCCCTGGGTATGAAGGGAACATGAGAGGCCACCCAGGACATTCTCTCAGCCATAGATGTCTGTCCTGTCTTAAAAACACCCACTGGCAGAAATGTTGTATCTCCCAGGCAATCTGTTCTCCTGCTAAACTATCCTGACTTACTGGGATGATTCCCTGTTATCTTTCCCCATCTCTAAATGCATCACCTATCTCCTCCTTTCAGTGCCTGCTGCTGCTACATCTGTAGCCCAAATCAGGGCCATCCCAAATGCACAGGAAAGGAATTGGAGGGTGGCATAAAGCAGGGACCAATACTTGACCTTATGTGCCTGCCATGCCTGCATAGGTCATTCTGTGCTCAGGCCAAGCCTGCAGAATTTAACTGAAAGTCAAACTCATTTTGTTTATTTGATGCCTGGATGTCTGAGTGTTGCTTCTGGGGCCTTGGACCTTCTTGCTGTCCAATTGTGCTGGGTCATAGAAAGGCCCCTGACACCAGTGCTGGCAGCCAGCAGTCCCTGCCCCTATTCCTGTCAGATGGGTAACTCCAGTATTTCGGGTGCAGCAGTCTCGTGATTGCTTCGTATTTATACCTAGTAGGGGATGGAAAACAGACCCTGCAAAGCATGAGCCTGTTCTACCATTATCTGAAGATATTTTCAACATTTCACTTTCTTTCCCTCCTTGGTGTCTTCACTTTCCTACATGGAAATATTCAGAGTATCTCATCTGATCAGTGGGAGAATTCCAAGTTTTCTTTGGGTTTGGGTTCACCTTTTGTGAGGTTTTCTCAAGCTTAACTCTCCTAAATAATGACTAGGGAGGAAGACAGTAGACCAGAACAGACATGAAGGAGTTTGGACAACTGTCCTAAAGTAGAGGACAGGTTTGCTTTAGAAATCCTATATGCATCACAATCCGTTATAGAGAGTTGGCTTTAACAGCAAATCTCTTGCAGCAGGGTGTCACTTCACTTCCACAGATTACTTGAAATGCTTTATTAATTTGATGACCTTGTGGGCTCTCAGAAAAAGCCATTTCTCAGTGTTTTTGGGAAAGAGAACTCTGAGCAAAAGGGACTGTTCTGTTGCTCAGATTTATTGCTTGGCTGACTTAATTCATCGTTCAAACATGATGATTTTTAGCTGCTGGGCAGCGGCCCTTGCAATGTTGAAACTAATTAACTGCTAGAACACTTTTTAGTAAGGCTATTTTCTTACTGGGTTTGGGTTTTAGTTTTTTTTATTTTTTAATCCACAGAAATAAAGCAAACACGATCCTTGAAACACAGGTTGCATGGATACGGTATCACCACAGACTCAGCGCTGAATGTCTCCGTGTTACAAAGGAAGGCTGCTGGCTGTCCCTGCTGCCAACGTGACACTGCACCAAGATGAGAAAAGAGACAACATCTGAAGGCAGAGGAAAGGAGGGGTGCCGGAGTCATGACAAAGCAAGGACTGGGAGAACAGCAGGAGAGGTTTTGAATATACACTCAGGATCCACGGCCATCCTGATCCACCTGAGCTGTGGACCTCGCAGGCAGGTGGAGGCCAGTGGCTCTGCAGCAGGGCAGGCCTTGCTCCCATTCCTTCATCCCCACCACAACTCTTGCAGCCTGTATTTCTGAAAGAACCCTGAGCTTCATAGCTCAGATAGATCTTAAGGGCTGTGATGCCTGCTGTCAGGACCTCATCAAAGCCTTGCGAGGGAGGAAAAAGTAGGGAAAGGGGAGTCACTGTCAGGATGCACTTGGCTGCAGGAAGTTACTGGTTGTTATCTCATCAGGGACTTCGGCTCATCAAAATATTTCCTGGGAAAACCTGCAGCATTTAATGGTGTTGTCTAAAGATGGCATAAACAGGTCTAGAAGCTCAAACAGAGACAAATTCAACGTCTGTGTATTTGTTCCTACAGTCTTTTGCAGAGCACTATTGCCTTGCTCCCTGCTCCAACTCCATAGCTGCTAACTGAAAGCAGGGAATCCCCTCACTGGCTCCAGCAAGCTCCCCATCTGTCTTTTTTCCTGGCAGTTTGGTTACCTTCATCATCATTTTTAAATGCAGTGCTTCAAATGCCATTAGTGGTCACAGAGAATGGCAATTCTCTCAGCATGCCTCAACCACAGTGACCTCCTTGACTGGCAGCAGAGAGCACATCTTTCTCCTGTGAGTTTGGGCTGGGAGTGTCAGCCCTAGCTGTCAATTCACCTCCATCTGATTGTCTTCTTCCCTGCATTTCATTTCGCACATTTCCAGGATTTTCAGGCTTCTTCTGAAGCCTTAGGTTCTAGTTACTTGTCCCTGAAACACAGGAGTATAAAGCAGGTGTGTAATCAAGGAAATCTTATATCACTTGACTTGCTCTGAACAGAGAGGAAAGTGCAGAGGATCAGCTGCATCTGGGAGAGGCCATTTGGGGGGGACTCCAAAGGGACCATGAGGTTTTCTGTCTGCTAGTTCTCTAGGTGAAGTAAGAGGACAGTTGGTGAAGGTTTGTCATGGAAGGTGGTTGTATAAGAGAAAACAGAGTTTGGTGTCTGGGAGAGTCCAAGATAGCACCTTGGGGCAGGTTGTACTGATGAGCTGCCCCATCTCTTAGCTCTCAGCCAGAGCATGTTCCAGCATCCTCTGGCCTGGCCTGGAGGCAGGACAGGACACAGTCAGGGTGTGAGGGGGACAGTGTCGAG